GCCTTTGTTGGCAAAGTGCTTGATGTGTTCAGCAATAAACGCGTCATGCTCTGTTAGAAGTTCCAGTATACCAAGATAGTTACCATTGTGTGTAGACCCGATGATTGCAATGCAAGACCTCATTCACAGGGAAACTTCATCACACTTACAGTCCTTTGTAGCACCTTATGCCAGGAAACACATTCATTCTCAAACTGGGATACAACTTCATTATCCACACAGCCGATAACTGATTGCCTTGTACACATTACTATCATGGCCTCTCGGTGTATTTTGCTATTCTCAAGAGACGAAATTCTTCCAATCCTGCGTTTCCAGTCATTGTACCCACAAGTAAAGGATCCACTTTCTTTAGCACACATTTTACATGCAAAATAGTATAACTTCCAAACAGATGGTGAATAGCAAAGCCATGTGCATTCCATAAACTCTCCTATCAGTGGGTTCACACGTGAGAAGAAATATTTCTACCGATATCGGCGATAACCTTCTCCACCTTGAACTATGCCAGAGTTTTGAAAATCTTCATCACAGTGTCGACAATTCTCACCACCATTTGCAATCCAAGTTTTTCAATTCCTCAGATATGTTGTCTCCCAATAGGCCATTGACGAATTGTGGCTGTCTATCTTTCGATTCAAAATCTTCATCGCAGTCTAATTCTGTATGGATTTCTGTCACTGGTTCAGTTGAGATCGGTGTATGTTACCTATTAGATTTGTCTAAGTCAATATTCGGGCTGTTATCCTCGTTACCCCTAAAGTTGATTCCGTTTTCGTAGGATCAGTGACAACGACATTTTGTTGGACTTTCACTAAGTTTGGGCTTGAAAAACTTATCCAGCTTTATCAATTTAGCAGTTTTATTTTCTTTGCTTCTAGCGTATTTGATGTTCTTTTCTTTTATGCACTCCTGATTTGTGTGCAGATTGCATTTTTAAACAAATTCAATGAAAGAAAATTATGGTGGTTTTAGAATTAGCCACTTTAAAAATACTGAGATGCATGGCACACGTAAGCAAGAATAGCATTCACGTGTTTCAATTAGCAACTTAAACATGATCCGAGAAAGGCATCCTTTTGTGCGCATGTAATAACATTTTAGTGACTTAACATTCAAAATTTAACTAAACTACATTCTTATCATGGCCTAGCAACACATGTAGCAAAAAACTTATTCAATTATCTATATTTTAATATTATATAGATTTTATGTTCTTAATTTTATAACACAATACACGTATTTATTCCCAAGTTGGAGAATTGTATTTTTTCTCTAAGCATCCCCTCTTCTCTAATTTACTTAACACCCCTCCAAAAATTACAAAATTTAATGTCAATTACTTATTATAATATTGTCTTCGCTCAGACAAACCATAATTCTTATAGCCTTCAATCTTATTTGGCTAGATCTATCAAATAGAAAATCACTCCTCTTGCCACCCCCACCTGTAACATCCTCCCTTTCATAACTTGCCAATAGTTCTCTCCGACTTTTAATACTACATTATTTATAGCCAATAAAAAGTCAATGCTTCCTTTTATCAAATAACGTATTATGTTACATTGTTTTTTCTACATAAAATATTTAGTTTTGCTTCCAGTTCAACTTTTGTTCCCACTGGAAACATATCGACGAGTTTAGTTGAATTTCTAACAATTTTTGTCGCATAGTTAGAAAGACAGATCGTTATGGGTCATATTCTGCTTTTTTGCATGTTATTATACTGTGTTCTTTTGAGCATTATTTAATTAAATAAAAAATATTTGGCGCAGTAGAACCATTAGTATAAAAGAGTAGGGTTAGATGTCATGGACAGTTGACATAAACAATAAATATATAAAAAGACCCACGTAAGTACTTTATTTCTTTTTTCCATGTATATTCTTTATCTATTATTTTAAAAATAACTAAAATATAAAAGTAGGAACTTTTAATGTTATTTAAGGTTAGATTAGGTGAATATATACATATAATATAAATTTTCACACGTACTCTCGCAAGTAGCTCCAGAGCCTAACATGAGCTGCATGTTCGCCAGTAAATTATGACTTAAAATGGCCTCCAATAGGGGTTAGATACAGTTCAAAGTGCAATAAAACAATAAATTTTACGTATAATTAGATGTATACTATTATGAGTTTATAACTACTTAGCATAAACAAATGTAATTTCACGTTACAACTTGGTCATTCTAGTAAGACAAAAAAGGTAATTTAGATTGATTTATTTCTTTTCTTGGTGATTTTTGATGAAGCTTTTACTCATAAAAATGTTTGATGTTTATTTAGATTTTAAAGATTATACAACTGAAATTTAGACTTTTGAAACGAAGAAAAGTATTTGTAATCTTAATATAAATATTAATTTGCACTCGGATTAGGAAAAAAGACAATATATATATTCATTAACATATCTTTGATAAAAATACTTCATTAAAAAACTGATTTTTTGTTTGCAAACGACTTGTAATGTTTACTAAACGTCCGTCAAATTTTGTGAAGATACACACACATACTGTATTTAACCTGATTCATAATTTTGTACACCTTACACCAAGTGCCCCTGGCGGTCGCCCAAACCTTAATCAGTCATTGATTTTATGTTATTAATATATTATTACTGTTATCATATCCCTACATAAGGAACGAAGTATTAAATTTACATTACAATAAAAGAATTCTAGGGCTTTCCCTGTCCCTTACCCGTTGAAAAGCACGCGTCATTTATTCATAATTCTCCACTCTTCCACCTTTCACATGACTTATTGTATAAGCTCTTCTTTTTTGCTGTAATTTAGATTTTAATGAAAGTTGTAGTCATGATGAAATTTCAGTTTTTGGTGGTGAGAGAAAAGGTGTTCCAGAAGTAAGTACCTGTTTGAAGGTCTTTTTAATTCTAAAAATGTAATATTCAAATTAGGTAGAAATACTGAAAGCCACATTATAAGGAGGTGAGAACTGATGAATTTGACATGAAACCAGAAATGTAAAGCTATCACCTACAGAGCAGGAAAAAAATAATTTAGACTACAATAAATAAATATATAGCCAAGCTGAGTCTAAGTAGAAAACAGAACCAGAAAATAATCTGAAGAACTAGATTCAGGGGAGAATGAGTGGAGTGGACTACCCTCGTAAAAAGATGGACCTAAAGAAAACATAGAAATAAGGCATTCATCTCAGAAGGATACCTCATCATTCATGGCACCCTATAATTTAGGCAAAGGGAATTTCTTGGTGAGCAGCAACTGTGTATCGAACCTGTAGAGTCAACAATTGGATGAAAGTGGTGACATAAACTGGTAATAGAAAAACTATATCTGGTCCTGCAGTGGAAGGTTCTCGGAGGAGCAGTCCAGACATGTATTATGAAAGGACAAATTCCAGAGGCAGTAGCCCTCTTTATCCACATCAAAATTATTAGGTACTCACGAAGAAAGATAGGATCCACAGTGTGAGGATAGTGCATCAACAAACATAAAGAAATAAGATCCCTAAAAAAAATGCAGTTGTCACAGTAACCCCTAAAAACTCGGTCAGAAATTCAAATCCTGATAACTTTAGGCCAATTAGGTTATTTAGTTGTTCAAGTAAACTAATGGAACAAATAGTCTAACCAATTACTTAAGTTTTGTAAAAATAATAATCTTCTTTCCAATATACAGAACTCTTCTTGAAAGGTGAGACAGACCACGACTATTTCACAAGTCACACCAGACCAGTTTTTAAGTAATTTAACAATAATCAGGTCACTATAGCTATTTTCTTACACCTACGGAAACCCTTTGACTTCATTCCATAAATATCAACACCACAATGCTTATGCAGATCTAATTTTTTTATTAATCAATTACACTGATGTAGTTAAGGTAAATAACACCTTTTAGAAAAGTTAAAGTTAGGTACCGTGGAAATAAAACTATTTTCCAGAACCATATTTTTTTCATATTACTGTTGATAGACGTCTTATATCAGCAAAACACATAAAAAATACTAACACATCCCTCAGAAAATGCATAAATTATCTAAGACTAACCTAGGCCAGAATAATGGTTGCAATCCCAGCACTATTATAAAACTTTAGAAAACGTAGCACACTTTTTACTACTAATTGCAAGCAGTTAGCAGTTACTACCAAGCCAAGACTGATAGCTAGCTATTGGTCCTTTTCTGTACCTTAAGGTAATTTCTTTGTCTTTTACTAATTTTGTATTTCCTGAAAAACATGTCTAGAAAACCAATGATGTTATTAGCAATTCAAGTAATTCTATAATTGTTGTGAAAATCCACATGCAAAAGTAGCTTCAAAAGCTTAGGCCGTCCGAGTACATACTTGTTTTTCATAAAATGTGCAGATGACATCCAGTGAGACTGAGACAGCACATTATTAACCAAAAACTCCTGGCTCATATAAAGAAGCCATCAAACCTGCTGATGATTCCTGATCCAACATTTCCAACTACTTCGATACTTATGAAGATGTCAGTGCTGCAATGTACTGAGAATCTCTCCCCTTCAAGCTCCATTAAGTAACTAATGCTACCACTTTCAGTTCAATAACGTAGTTACGAAAGTGATATAAAATATTTAGTATTAAAGAGAACTCGTAGAGTAAAGTATGTCTGAGTATATTCCATTTACTGTTATAATTGATAATTATTGATCGTAGTAAAGAATTGAATTAGTATTATTGATAGTCTTAATTGAGGACAGTTATCTGCTCAGACTGAAGAATTTAGTCATTTTAACATTGAAGATTTTCAAGATACTTTTGTTAATCTTGATGTAGCCAAGTTTTTGAACCTCAATCTCTGAGTAAATTCTTTATTCTAACTGTAAACTTCCTTGAGTTGGTGACTTATGTGCTTTACTCATGACTGTATACCTGGATTTAAAGCCGAACTCCAAACGATTAACCTACATGGAATCCTGTTATAATTTGAACCAGTCATAATTCAATATATAATCGCTATTTTTATAAACAAACCACAAACTGACTTGTTTCATTAATTTACAATGTATCCAAATTTTATTGGATGCAAAATAGATATACTTAATCAAAATATACCAGTGTTAGATTTCTTTGATTAGTAGTACTACATTTTTATCATAATGAATTCTCATATAAAAATTCAAAGTGAGATGAATTTCAACATTCAACTATTTACCACACCTTTTTTGAGGATAACATTTCCATACTGTGCCATTTCCCTGCAAAGAAATATAATATTCTGAATTAAGCAAGTACATAAAATCCTTGACTAGGTTAATTTTGCAGCGTTTGTCACTAACTCTTCTTTTACATAATTTAGAAATGTTTTAGATTTGAAGAAAAAAGCTACAAATGTTTTTAAACACAACATGCACATCAATATCATTATATTACTGAAATAAGATATAAGTTAATAAAACATTAGCTGTACCCTGTATGAACAATAGCAAAAGCAGTCTTTGCTTGCTCGTAGAATTCAAATCTTTCAACTTCTTGAATAGGCACCTGAATATCAAAAGAAAAAAAAAAAAAGAGAAGAAAATATTAACTTTTTGATATTAGTTAAGTATTGCAAGTTTTTGCTCTCCTGAAATATCATAAACCACTACCTTGGTTAAGTACTTTTTAATATATTAAGTATTTTATAATTATGTATCAAATAATGTGAAGCAATTCAACTGTTTTAGTTAATTAGTTTAAAGTTTACATTTTCCTGTACCAAAAATGTATTTTCAATGATATTTATCTCCTCTAACACTTTGGATTTATCCCAATGAAAGTTTCTCTTCTCTCCTTATCTAAGTATTAGTATGAATCATACCTCACTTCCTCCATTCCTTATACTCCACTATATCGCCCATAGCAATTTTAATCTTGTGATTCTATCCACCTACGTCAATGCACCCTATAACAGATCTGTATAAGCTCCCTGTTTTTACTTCTTATGTACTATTTTGAGACTGGCAAAATTATCAGATCCAAACAACATCGTGGGGATGAAGGAAGGTAAGTATTATCTGAAGTTATAATTTTCCTATACTGAAAATGTATTTCTGATAGGTACTTACCTATTCTCACATAAAAAGCTATTCTCATTCAGTGCTACCCTCTATATGCAAAATTTTTTTTGCATTCCACAAGCCTCGAGTTCCTACATACCCTATGATCAATGTGGTTCAACTGCATCTCACATGCAAATCATCATGTGACAACCCTTCTCTAATAGGAGTGATACACACCCTCCTGATGCATGTGACTCCGTCTATTCAATTTTATGAATTAAGTACCTATTGCAAATACATTTTCATTCAAGGAAAATTATAACTTCTGATATGGTACATTACCTCCTCTCACATAAATAGGTGGAAGTACCAGTACAAGGGAAAGAAAGAAGCATCCTTCGAAAGCGTTGAAAGTACACCCTAAAAGAGTAGATCCTCACAGTAGAAGATAATACATGGGAGACTGCACCACTTCTATACCCGGTATACTCTTTGCCCAGTGTGGAAAGAGGTGTTGCAGACATGAGCGAAAATTCTGAGGAGCACATCCAAAAGGAAGAGAACAATGGTTGGATAGGGATCCAAACCATGCGATATTGGAATCTCCATGCCATAGAGTACATCAATGTGGGTGTGAGTAAAAGGATGTGCCTCTAGGTGTAGAGTGGCTAGGGTGTATCGGAACATACACTGCAAGTCAACTGCATCCAAAACCCAGCTGCCAGGAACCGACATCCACACAGGGGTAGGATGAGGATTATACTGCCAGTAAGTCAACTACAATCCAAAACCTAGCTATCTTGTTGGGGTAAAAAATAGGATCATACTGTCTTCACCTCTAGTTCAGCAGACTGGAGGTAATCTCATAACTCCCAATCTATGAACATGGCATATGATAGCAGTGTGATAGATTGTTCATCCGATTCAGGAACCCAACATCGAGACAATTGGTATAGTAAAGATATCTCTGTAATGTAAACTATCACACTCAAAACCAATCCAACAGGAACCACTCTCAGTGCAATAAGAAAATCATTGAGGGATAGTGTAAAAGGAAGAACTATATTAATTTGCAAGTTCCACCACCCTGACCCACAATACAGATGGAGGGAAAAAAGAGTGTAATTAAGTGAGGAAACAGAGACACCTATAATACACGTGTGAGGACTTATGTTGATTGGTTCAGGTCTGTGGGGTAGGATTAGGGATCATAATTGAAGGGGTGAACTGCAATTTTGACTGCTCACTCCAAAGTTACATCATCTCCTCGGATAAACCCAGACAGAGATGGAGCATCAGATTGGAGGACATCTCTTCATCTACACCAGTATAACACCACTGCCCTATTCTCAACTGAATGGCTTTATCATTATTTGTATTGTATATCTTTATCACATTGAGGAGAATGCCTTCATGGTCCACCACCCCAGCGGCTTGGAACTGGAAAGTGGTAAGGACTCCCATACTTTACTGGAGGAAAAAGTGGGAAAAAAATGCAGTGGAGAGTCCATAGAACATCAACACTGGAGACAGTGCAACGGGAGACTATGAAAAACCCTATTTTGAAAAGCAGACCACTCCTCTGAAGAATGACAGGGATGGTTAGCTATTCCTTTCTGCTTTATGCATAAAGTATATGGATTAGTACGGTCCAGAATGGGCATATGAATGACACAAATATATCGTGAGTGGAACCTATGAGCAATCTTGTGGAACACCCCATCTGAACAGTGTGCATTTAGTGACCATGTAAATTATAGTTGTTATCATGGTCTTACAGTGCAGATTTGACTAGCTTAAGTATACCTGGACAGGCAGGCACTACTCACCACAGAATGGGATCCATAAAACAAAATAATAGGACATGCTCCTGAAAAATAAGAGGTATATATATATATAAAGGTATCTTACCCAGTCACAGTCTCACAGAAAAGTGAAGGATTGTGACAGGTGGAAGACAGTATCAAAATGAGAAAGAAACAGCTACCAGAAGCAGATAATGGGAGATAAATGTATAAGGCGTAGTCCCAGTGCTTGATGGAAAAAGTACCTCCATCATATGACGAGAGTGAGATGCAGGTAAAAGGGGGAGGTGACAAATCAGAGTGAAGACACCATGAATAATTAGAAAAGGTCAGCCGATTCCAAAGGGTAAGGGAAGAAGGAAAAAGTCACAAACAGAGGAGTGGTGCCAGGGAAGGAAACAGCAAGAAAAGGAACCAATGGAAAGAAGCCTTGAAGGCAATGAAACAACCCAAAGCAGGTACAGGACATAGGAGGTCAAATGGATTTAACCGGGATTAAAGGTAGGAGAAGGAAGGAAACAAAATGAAGAACATGCCCCACAAGCTGCCAAAGTGGAGGTTAGCAAAACTCGACCAAGAGCACACAAAAGACAGATCAACATGCTGAGAAAACGAAATGTGTGTTGCTCAGGAAGGAGCAATCAGAAAAACTTGTCACAGAGTGGCAAAAATGAACAAAATTACCTGGGGAAGATGACAAATGGGATGAGAAAATAAAGGTATAAACAGGTCCCAATCCTGTCTGAATGCATCACCAGCCAAGGCAAGTGGACGAGGAACTGGAAACAAAAACATACAAGTTTGAAGGGCAAAGTACAAAACTAGTACCCAACCCCATTGTGAACAAACGTAAGACAGCATCATGAGCGATGAAAAACAGGAACATCGACTGTGAGCATCCTTAGTCCTGGAGAAAACACCCACTATAGTGTGATAAAAGACAATATAGGAAAAAAGGGAAAGAACCAAGAAGAAATTGGGGTAGGACAGATCACTCACACAACACCTATCTACATAGAGAGTACATAATTAATGGAGGCTCTTAGATATAGGTCAGGTAAGTGCTGGACGTGGAACATGCATAAATAATGCAGAGGCAAAATTGACAAATGAGCAACCAAAAAAGAAAAAATTGGATGTAGCAATACAGATACCACACATGATGCTAAGGTCACAGGAGTAACACCCCCCCAAAAAAAACAAAAAAACATCTGTTAGTCACAATTAGAAATGGAAGGGAAATGCTTGGTACAAGACAGTGTCCCACCCCAGAAGATTCCAAAAGCAAAGAAGCCACCACATAAGTAGGGCAAGAGTCGAAGATGGCAATCACCCCAACACTGGAGGTAAGGAGGAGGAAAGTACCCCACGAAAATCCCCAAGAAATAGATAGAATGCCTCAGAAAGGAGGAGTATGGCAGCCAATACCAGTAGAAAAGGCAACAGAAGATGATGATAGATGGAAAACTTGGTTAGGAAGAAAGGGATAGGATTAATTGATTCTGCCCCCATACAGGCAAAGTAGATTCGAAGTGCTGAGAAGCAAAATGAATCAAAGCCCCAAAAGAGAAACAAAAAGGCCCAGCATGAACCAAAATGTCTGGGAAAGGAGGAAAAAACAAACAACAACTGTGAAACGTCTATAAAAAGGGCTGAGGTAGGCCAGACTCCACAGTAGAAGCCTGGAAAGGCCAATTCATAATCAAGTGGAGGAAAACTGTCAAAATAGATGTAATCCCAAATGAGTTCAGCAGTTTGTGGAGGAATGTGAGCAGTAGTGGGAGAAGACTGGGCAGACCCAGGGTCCTCAAAAATGAAATTAATTGTAAGAAGTATGAAATATAATGAAAATGAAAAAGTCTTTATATTGTAAAATTAAGTGTATAATGACAATAAAAAATTTTGTAGATGGGATATGTTGAAGAAATAATATATGTAAACTAATGTACGATTTACCAACAATATGAGTGACAGGTAGGCCTAAACTAACGTTATAGTATAAAAAGATATCATTAAATGTTAATTAAAAAACCCTAACTGTACAAGAAGTAGATACAAATCTAACTAACTGTATTATGTGTTATTGAAACCAAATAACTACAGATAATATTAATAGCAAAATAATATTCAAAAAGCCAAGACCGTATAACAGCCCAAATGTGTGAGCCACCAAACTCAAGGCCTGAAGAAGATCAACTCATATAACTATCATTCTCCCAATGTATTCAAGCTGACAATTCCTCAGTCAAGTATCACCACCTGAAGCCTAAGTAATTGTGCTGGAAGTAAGGAATATTTTCGAAGTGGAAACATAGGTTTTGTTAAAAAAAAAAAAAAATCTACTCTTTGTATCAAATTAAAAAAAACACAGGAAGAGAGCACAAACAAAAAACATCTTGACGACAGCACTGCCAAACAAGAAGTGATAATTCAGTAGAATCGAATAGAGTGAGTCGCATGTCAGGAGGTGTGTCACACTCTTATTGGTGGGAGGTTGCCGTATGATGATTTGCATGCCAGACACAGTTGAAACACGTTGATTTTAGGGTCTGTGGCATGCAAAAACCATTTTGCATATAGAAGGTTGCACTGAACGAGAATAGCTATTTATGTGAAAAGAGGTAATGTATCATATTGGAAATACCTTTTTGGTGTAAGAAAATGTAAACTTCAAAAACACACCTCCACTCACACTTTAGCTAGAATCTCACATTGACAATGGGGAGGGGCTAGTGAGAGCAAGATCCATATAGAAAGCATCTGCATAGAAACGTGTGCAAACTGATCTAATGGGGTCTGCACTACTGCTGGAATAGGTATGCTCTTCATCTGAATAATATGAAATCTAAAATTTTGGTGGTAAATGTCAAACAGCCACAGTGTTGAAACTGTAACATCGTGAGAATAAACATGTAAGGATGGACATCTATTCGAAAACTCCTGCAATACGAGAATCATCTGCTTTGGAAATATTATACACGCTCACGAGATTCATCCAAGTTTCAACCATGCAGAGGAGGTCCTATGTCTTGTCATTGGAATTATAGGGCTGTGGACTGCAGTGTGATGTCAATGTATTATAGTAATATGATATTAAGGGAACTCAACTTGAAAGTTACAGAATGTTGCATGTCAAACTATCAAAATTATGAAGACAAAGCAAGCAACACAAAAGTGGACAAACCCTAACCCCAAAGTGAAGAAGTATGAAATGCAAGAAACCGAACTTGAAATTATGGGCCCGGGAACCCAACCCGAAAGTTAAAGAATGTTGCATGTGAGCCACCAGAATTACAAAGAGAAGGCAAGCAACAACCAAATGGACCAGCATTCCCCTCAACCTGAAGAAGCACAGAATGCAATAAACTGGGCTTTGAATTATGGGGCCATTCATGCCTCACTCAACCTGAAGAAAACAGAGATCATTTGGCCTGGAATTATGAACCTAAATTCTACCTCCCCAACCTGTGAGGCAAAGCAACACCTCCTTCCACTGGAATTATGAGGAGGATGTGGAACAAACGAAGTTTAACCAATGGCTCAAGGACTTTACACTCCACTTGCGGAATGACAAGAAGATAAGGACCCTCTTTCATGATAATGTCGTGTTGTCCCTGTCCAACCACCAGACAATCCAGGGCATCTGTGCAAATGTTTCATTGGTCCTGTAATGACCACTGAAGGGTCTGCATGTCCGACCTAAAGGAATGAGTGATTCCAAGGATTCCCACATCCCCAAAAGAGATTGAAATGAATGCACTGGTGAAGGAGACAACTGTATTTGAAGAACTACCCATTCCATAGCCTGAACACATAAAAAAGAAAGTTGAGCCCAGCTTAATTTGGAATTGAAAAACACTCCTAAATGGATGAGGTACTGTGTGGAAATAGGAATAGACTTCTCCTTTTTGATAAGAAACTCAGCTCTTGCAACTTTTGCTAATATAGATTAAGTGTGAAGTTCTACCAAGTGATGAGAAGAAGCCAGTCGTCCACGTAATGGTGAGTGTGAATACCTAATGAGTGAAGATGACATGAAAAGGATCTGACTATTTGACAAAAAAATGTATGGGGCAGATGCGAGGCCAACTGCATGAAATGAAGATAATGCCGTAAAGAATTTGTGATTGAAATGTGAAGGTAAGCATAGGTGATATCAAATTTTGTCATCCATAGAAAGGTGAAAAGAGCCACCAAAGGGAAAGAAATGATTCCCTTGTAAACTGAGCAGGCTGGATGAAGCGATTGAAACAAGAAATGTTGATGACAGGTCACCAACTGCCCTTTTTTTCAGTACTACAAAGAGCCAGGAATAAAAATCAATGAGGTAGGAGTTGGCATACTCTATGGCCTTTTGTACTGAAGATCTTGGATGGCTAGATGTAAGAGGGTCCTTGGGGAGTGGAAAGCCAACTGGTATGAGAGACAATGGAGAAGGAGACATAAACTGAATGACCAATCCTTTCCTGAGAACTTGAATGATCCACTGATCAGTGATGATGGTCTCCTATACTGACACGAACCCTCTGAGTCCAGATCCTACAGGATTTGAACCTATAATGTTGTCACCAATGCCATAGTCTGCGTTCCACCCTAGAGAAGGATACCCACTTGTAAGGTTGGAATTGCCCATGTGTTCCAATTGACCATGGCATCAAAATCGGATGTCTGGAAACTTGAACAGAAGATGCAGGAAACCCTCCAGTAGGAAACCTTTGGGACAATCAAGATGCTAGGGTAAAAAGGGAAGAGGGGCCACATCCACTCAAAATTCCATGGAATCGGTAATACAAGCAAAAATTGACTGAGAAAAGGAGATTCTCTGAGATCGCTAAAGAGCGAAGCAAGAAATCAAACTCTCTCCAAAAGATCCCAACAACAAACCAACCAAGATACCAAGGAGAGAGCAGACGCCAATAACCTGAAGTAGAAGTCAATAAATGACTAAGATCATCCGAAAATTGCTCAGGAGATCTGTGATAAACCACAGAAAACAGTCTGAAAGATCATATAAAGCACAAAACTGTGGTAACAGATGAATTCCAGAAAACTGAGGTTGATTAAGGCAAACTATGGCATCTTGTCTAGAACCCCAAATAGGAAGAAGAGGATCAAACCTCTGAGAGTCTAAATAAGGGTTTTTCAGGCAATGGAAAGCCAAGGCATGCTTATCCAATAAACGAGGAGGACAAGGCATGGCAGCACCCTCTCTCAAATGATCAGCCAATCCCCTTGCATTCACAGCAATGTCTGAGGATGGTGGAATAAAACCAATAAACCCAATAAAAAAAGAAAAGATTCATAAGCTACAGGAGAAATACTTAATAACATTACAAACTTGGCATACTAGTTGCAAAAAAGGTGCAGGAGGCAGAATGTCTATCAGAGGTTCATGTTTAGCTGTCTGAACAAAGGAAGTTACCTGAAATATAGTCTAAATTCTTACCAGTCTGCTCTTGATGCCCCACAAACTCAGCTGAGAGCCAACAGGAAAAAAAAATATCAGAATGCACGTAAGACTCTACCTCTCTGCGTATGAAGAACTGTATGTTCTCTGCGGAAGTTGCCACCCCCCACCTTGATGGTGGAGGAAACACGAAATTCATTGGCCAACACCATGTTTGAAATGTGAATGTGTATATTCCTATTTGAATAAAATCTCCAAAATTATTTCTAAAGAAAATAAACAATAAACTCAAGACCCACTAGAAAACATCAAAAAATTTTTAATAACGCTGAAGAGAAACCCGTAGCAAACACGGATAACTATCATTGTAATGTCGACCCTTGAGAAATAGTGAATAAGTAGTAATAATGGGGAGCCTATATACAGATCTGGTATACAGGGCGAATTATGTAGGTGGAGAGAGTCATAAGATTAAAATCGCAATGGGCAATATAGTACGGTATAAAGACTGGAGCAAGTGAGTTATAATTCATAGGAATGCTTAGATGTGCAGAGAAGAGAAACCTTCTTCGGATAAAGCTAAAGTGTGGAAGGAGGTAAGTGTGTTTTGAAAATTGATATTTAATACAATTCAATAATAAAAGTACTTTTGAAATAGAATGATATTTAATTGCTGGATTTTTAACATAATAACTACAATTCTCTTGTTACATTGTTCGTGTAATTAGTAACTTTGTGGCTTTTGACTGCTAATTACTGTCACAGCTCAGTTACTTGTTAACCATCAAACATTAAAAGATTTCATAAACAAATATTATCTATAAGAATGTAAAACTTTATGAACAAATGTTATGTAATGATGTGTTGTCTACACAGTTAAAAACTGATCTTTTTTTTTTTACATACTTCTCTTCCTTCAGCTTCTTGTATTATCTGCTTATAAGTATCCCAGATGGGAGTCTTTAAGTTCTTCAGCTTGTCTGCTTGAACTAGCTCCATTAGTGCAACCTTGACAAAAAAAAAAAAAGGAAAATATAAAAGCCTACAAGAATAGGAACCACTTTTTGGCAAAATATTAATAGTGTCTATCTTTCTTTTGGAATGAAAACAAGTGTTTTTATGAAACTTAAATGTATAAGCTAATATTAAAAAGCAAAATCCATATCATGGCTGGCTGGAAACTGTAGTTATGAGTAATATCAGCTCTCTGTTGGTCAGCTAGGTTGATGAAGAGAAAGTCAAGCCATAAAACGTAATGGTTAGAAGATATGTTGATTTGAGTAGGCTTGATAAATTTAATGGTGTCTAATGCTGTTAACACTGTGATACAATATAAGAAGAAAATTATTGTATTTCATTTAATTTCACTACAGTGAATGTTGTAAAGTGCCTACATCCCAACAAACCTTACCATAGCTATAAAATAAGACTTGAGAGTATATTGTTCAAAAACTTAATGGTTTGAAGGTAGCAAATTTAAAGAAAAAGTGGTGTTTTACCACAACTATGAATCTAAAGAAACTAAGGTAATAAAGTGAATGAGAAATGCAAGAAAATATCCAGATATGAAGATGGTATAATTTAAAGAATTTCAACATTAAATAGCAAAAATAAAAGATGGATAAGTATAAAGTTAGAATCAGTAATACAGGCACCTATTTTGAAAAAGTTGCAAGGAACTGATCTAGATAGAAAAATTGCAACTAAAACAAATTTCACTTATGAACATGGTCAAACATTTCAACTTTGCAAGAAATCAAAAATTATAACAATTAGCTAAACAATGTACTACAGCTAACAAAACAACTTTGGAAACTAGAAGCATTCTTATTCAATGATGTGATCACAAAAATTTAAACTTGTGTATTTGAGGAAAAGCGTGAAACACATGGCAGGTATTCAATAAAGTGAGAGATTTTCTTTTTCTTTTTTTTTGCTGCAGGAGTAGGAGATATTGTTCAGGTCGATGATATTATGAAGAAGGAGAAGTATAAAGATATTTTGGTTTGGCAAGTTTAATTGGCACTTAATTGCCACAGCAGGATAATGATCCAAAACATATCTGTAGAAAAAAAAAAGAGTTCATTTTTTAAATGGCAAATCCAAAGTCACATGCCAGTGTGATTAAAAATTTGTGGCACCAGTTGAAAAGAAATCTTTCAAAAAAGAAAACAACTAATCTGTGATAATTTTAGGAGATTGTAAAGCAAAAATAAAAGGAACATTTGGCACTCTCCAAAAATAGGTAGCATTCATGTCTGATCAATATCATCAAAGACTTCAGGCTAGAGAAGAATCAACAAAATACTAAATATTCAATCAGTTATTTTTCAAAATGAACTTCTTATGCCTATTTTCTATTATTTAGTACAAATATGTCACAAAAAACAAAATTACACTTTCTTGATAACTTGAGTTTTAATATTGATTGATACTATGCATATTAAGGCAGCTCTTACCTGCAGATAAAAATTTCAGGTTAAAAATCGTAAAGCTCGTGCCCCCAATTTTGTTCCAATGTACAAAGAAACAAAAAAATACATTAAATGTCAAACTTTATCCATTTGGACCATATAGAAAGGGTGATCAATAATATTGTAGTTCAAGACTACAGTAGCCTGGTACATGTGTACTATGTAATATAAAATCATATTTATCTATTATAAATGATTTATTTAAATTATTATTATTATTATTATATTGCATGTACAATAGTATAATCATATAATTATATGATTTTGGTGTGGTTAACCACTTTTGCACTGTTACTGTTAGAAAAAAGCTTTTATGATCCTGCACAACTTGAAGGAGGAATTGTTTTTGTTCTTCTTTTCTTGTTATGACAGCAACATACAATCAGTAAGGGCCACATCCCTTTCAGCATTGTAACTTACCACATTCAAGTGAATTCCCATGACTGGGGTCATAATCCAGATGGAATTTCTTGGCACTTGAAGATGTCTGTTGTGTTCTTTGTGATAAAATCTTCAAGTTGCATGTCATCAGACTTCCTGATATTTAGATGGATGCACCTTTGAGGTTCAATTCATGCCTTCATTCTCATTTAGTGTCTTTAACATTGTTCTTTTTGTCTCTGGGGAACAGCTAAATCAAAGAATGCCAAATGAATGAGATATCCATTAAATTTTTGACAGGCAAATTTTGAAAGAGCAGAATTCACCTTACGATACTTAACAGGACATTGTAGGAAGTTAAGATCACTGTGAGGAGAAGAAATGGCATCAGGAGCAGTGAATCATCCTCCAAGATAGAGTCAAACAACAAAAATGCAGATGTCATATACTCCTCTTTTCTCATGGCCAGTGAGTTTAAAACATCCAGATCTTGAGGGCATATAATACTTTGGCCATCCATCATGCATATAATATATTGCACTCCATGAGGTGGATGCCACCAAGAAAAGTTATGGTTAGTTCATGAAGTGCTTGATAATTGTCTCTACAATGGCTGATCTGAAGTTGCAGCAAATACAATGACTCTGTCCTTAACTTTCTTTGTGGCTTCTGCTAGATCATCATGATCAGTTGAAATTTCATAATTGAACTGTTCAATGTATTCCCAAGATTGCTGGAATCAATTGAAAATTGCAATATCTGGGCCAAAAAAAGCTCCATAAAGTCTTTGAAAACACATGCCAGGAAAAGTTCTAAGATATGATACAGAATATTTTAGAGGTAGAGAGTGACAGCATGGATTATTTACATATGGAATGTTCTTGAACATTCTGAATAATGTGGAATACTGTAGAATATTATAGAAATCTAGAACCTTACAAAAATATTTAAAATATTCTGGAACATTCTAGAATATACAGATATAATGCAAGCTACAAGGTAGTATTTTAACTACCTTGAGCCATCTTAAATGTTATTCAATAAAAAACTTGGTGTGAATTACTTATCTATATATTGGAACAAAATGAGTGTGTTTGTTTGTTTGATTAATTATGCACAAAGCTACACAAGGGCTATCTGTGCTCTGCCCACCACAGGTATCGAAACCCGGTTTCTAGCGTTGTAAGTCCGGAGACATACCACTGTGCTACTGGGGGGGCGCAAAATGAGTGTGTGAAAGTTGGAAATCAAAACTTCAAAAATAAAGACAACTCTAATGCATATTTATAGTAGGAGAGTCCAAATCAACTATGAAATGTTGTTTCAAAAGGGAAATTATAACATAACTCTTTTAACTTAAGATTTTTTTAACAATTTGTAAAAGGCAAATACAATCAATGAAGCATTTACACAAAAACAAAATTTTAATCCAAATGTCCTAATTCTTACTTCACTAACTTGTATTGTGGTTCATATATATTCAATGTTACAATCATTTAATATCTACACAAATAGCTAATAGTTGTGGAATATGCCAATTACATACAAAGATCGTTAAAATTATTATAAAAAGAGTGTTTTTGAAACTTACTGGTGCATATACATAAGTATCCAATGGCATTAATTTCAGTATAGCACGAAGAAGGTCAGGGATTCCATGGCCTGCAGAAAAATAATGGTAATTCTGATAAATAAATGTATTATGTTAATTTGTGCTACGTAGCTCTAAGGAATAAAAAAAAAACAAGTTAACAAATTGGAAGGAAGGGGATTAAACAATTTTTAAACATATCAGGGATAGGGGTATTTATGACATTTGTACATATATGTTTATAAATAAACCCCCAAAAGAATCCCTTTTTTTGATTGAGGAGATGTGTACACAAGATTATAATGAATTACATATTATATTTGGCACATTATGTCTTATACCCATTTTTTATAGTTGTAAGGTACTAATTTCCTATCCCTTCCCTAAAATACATACATTTTTGTAGTTCCCTCTAAGATTTCAATATCAAGAAATAACACCAAGAAACTAAAATACACTAAGTTATACTACACTTCTGACTACTGAAAAGGTACACCAAAGTTAGCACTAACTATAAAGAAACTAAAACACATTGCTTATTAACCCTTCTCTTCTCCAATTCTCCCTATGTACATTTGGTAGCATTAATACAATAACATATCTACCATAAAATTAAAGGACAATAAGGGACCTGTTGATCCAACTAAGCTGTTCCATCCACCACTAAACTAAATTACAAAAAAAAAAAAAAACTTATCAAACCTTCCCTTAAATTTACTGCATCCGCATCTGAAAGCAACCAAAATCCAGCCATCCTGTTAAGAGAAATAAGTATCTTATCTGAAGATGACTCCTACCCTGCAGAAATTTATATTTGTGTCCCCTAATCCTACCATTCTCACCCAGGCATCATTCTAGTAACCCTCCTCTGAACCCTTTCCAACAATTTAATGTAAGGAGCCCAAGACTGAACACAATACTCCAAATGTTGCCTAACCAATGACTTATACAATGAAATTATAACCTTATTAGATTTGTATTCAATGTTTCTGTAGATGCAACATAAATCCTATTTGCCATACCATTAGGAACAGCTTACTCCTTGAATGGCTTAAGAGACTGATCAACCAGAACACCAAGAACTTTTTCTTCAATAAAACTTCTAAAATTATTCCCATCAAAATTATATATATATATATATATATATATATCAAATGATTAATATTAACTTCTGATCAAAGCAAACTATGTATTTACAGCAAACATTCTATTACCTGGTATTTATTATAATTAAAAGCAATCTGCCATTAGCAAAAGGTTCATTTGACAGGAATTCAAATTTAATGATAAACAATGACAGAAACAATGACCATTTGACAGGTGTGTGTGTGTGTATAGTAACAAAGATTTAATTCTTGAACGTTTTGGAATATAAGTATTCCATCTTCAGCAAGCTATATTGAACATGGTAAATTGTAAGGTACAAAATTTTATAAAAAGTAAATAAAATACAGAATAAAATGATGAAGTAAATTAAAAGACAACCAAATAAACAAAACAGAATTGGATAAAACAACAATTGTAACAATATTATACAAGTATTCAGAACAGATTTAATTGTAGTAAAGCTGTGTTGTTATTTAAAGGTGGGAGTACATTTATAATAAATAAACTTTCTTTAATTAAAAGTTCAAAATTGGATGATCCAGATGAAATGACACTGAAATTCATAATCAAGATTGGGTGGTTGTTGTTTTCACTATGTGGATGAATCATGGAGTCTGATAAATTTGAGAGTTTTTACCAGTTCTGCTTGATACTCCCATATGTTCACAGGCTCGCAGGTGTAATTAGTGCATAGTTTTGCCAACATAAGTGGCATTACAGCCACCACGCATTTACATATGATCCTCAAATGCATAGGGGTCATTTATTTGCCCAAGTCACTAAATAACTTAAATCCTTTTGTAAAGCAGCAGCAACATTTTCACAGCCAGAAACACCAAAGATCTTAATATCACCAGAAAATTCAAGTAAATTACTGATCATTCTTTCATCTGCTTCATTGATGTACATCATAAAGAGCAAAAGTCCTAACATTTAGTCCTGAGGAACCCCATTTGTGACAGTTAATCTAGTTTGACTGAATTCCCTTTATAACAACCCTCTGCTTTAATAATGGCTGGAGACGGCTTAAATGGGTAATGAAGAAAAACTTTAATATAAGTTTAACATGACAGCAAATGTATAACGTTTCGACAAAACCTTGTCGTGATGACAAAACCTTGTCGAAACGTTATACATTTGCTGTCATGTTAAACTTATATTAA